CGCCTGGCTAAGGGACCCACATTTTGTTCATATCATATTGATCAACCCGGTTTAATGTTTGTTACACGACGGATTCAAAATTTGGTATAGAAAAGATTGGCATGTTATAAAAAATTTCTGGTGAATGTCCATCTAGTTTTTGTTAATAGTTCCTGATTTTTTTACTGTAGACAAAGAGGCCCGCAACTATGTCCAAGACAATGAAGAGGTTCTTTCATAGTGGTAGAAAATATCATGGAGATCTGAACATGTGTTGGATTGGGTGCCCACATGTATGGAACTATATTTGGAAAAGATTGATGTGCTTGACAGTTCCTCTAGTAACCTGAACCATAAAACAAGATATGTGAGGTCCTACGCGTCACGTGTGCAAATTCTCCACTAAGTCAGTTTGATATGGTGGTTTTTCTACCATGGAGGTCCCATGGCAGCCTAATCTCCCATCATCATGTCCAGTTTCCTGTGTAGTGCGTCTGGCGGATGGTGATGTCGCTGGCATCTTGGCGCACTTCGACAATGAGGTAGAAGCAGAGGAGGCCCATGTCACTCATGTCGAACACCTTCATTTGTGCCTTGAAGGCCTCCACCTCCTCTTTAGCGCCGGTGATGATCAGGTCATCGACGTAGATGCTGACGAGTTGGACAGAGCGCCACGTTCGCCCGCGGTACCGCCGCCGCCGTCGGCGCTTTCTGCCTGAAGCCCATGTCCTTGAGCGTGGCGCCCCGGCCGTGTTCCAGCGCTGCATGGCCGACGCAGGCCGCATCAAAGGTTTTTGCGCAAGCGGGTACACCTTGCCTTCTTTCTCCCGCGACGGCAGAGCCTAGTGGTTGACGACGACGACACCTCCTCCTTGAGGTCGCCGTTGAGGAAGGCGGACTTGACGTCCATGTGGTGGATGCGCCATCCCTCCTGGCCAGCAACATGAGGAGGACACGGACCGACTCCATGCGCGCCACCGGAGCAAACGCGTCGTCGTAGTCAATCCCCTCTTGCTGGATGAAGCCGTGCGCCACTAGCCGTGCCTTGTGTTTGATCACTGCCCCAGCCTCATCCTTCTTCAGCTTGAACACCCATTTCAGGGTGATGGGGCAGTGGCTGTCGGATAGATTGACCATTTCCCAAGTGCGGCTTTGCTCGACGGACTTGAGCTCCTGCTCCTTTGCAACGCGCCACACCAGATCGCCTTCAGCTTCGGCGTAGGTAGCAGGCTCGCTGGCAACATCAGGTGTAGCTAAACATCGAAGTCACGCTGCGCTGGAGCTGGTGGAGGCTGATCATGTGGTAGCGGTAGAGGAGAGGTTCGTCGTCGTGGTAGGCGTCCGAACGGTCCTTGTCATCCTTTAGCGGTGTGGTGAACTCGATCGGAGGTTTCTGCCGTGTCCTGGTGTTGCAGCTAGCGTAGCAGGGAAAGCAGCAGCCGGGGACGCAGGTGGAGTGGCTGGCTATGGCACTGGTGGAGTAGCCGCTAGTGCCGATGAACCTCCGGGCTCCCCCAAATTTGGTGACGGTGAGCGCGGCAGAGCTGGTGATGAAGACGACGCCGGAGAGGACGATACAGACTCCACTGGGACGCGCACTCTGTGCTCCCCTTGCTCCTCCAGGCCACGCATACTCGACGACGAAGTCAGTCGCCGCCGATGCTGAGCCTCCGAGGTCCACCTTTGTCTAATCCCAGCTACGCCCTTCATCGAAGATGACGTCGCGCGCCACATGCACGCGCTAGGTCACCGGGTCGAGGATGCGGTACGCCTGCGCCCCCTCTACGTACCCGATGAAGACGCCGAGCTTGCTGCGGTCATCGAGCTTCCCTAGCTGGTTCAGCTCCTTGACGTAGGCGATGCAGCTGAATGTCCGTAGATGTCCGACCGCCGGCGTGCGCCGATGCCAAGCCTAATAGGGGGTCTTGCCTTGCAAGCTCTTGGTCGGTGAGCGATTAAGTAGATGAACTTCCGTCATCATTGCCTCCCCCCAATACATGGTCGGCATGCCTCTATGCTTCAACAGTGCCCGTGCCATTGCGACCACGGTCTAATTCTGGCGCTCGACCACCACGTTCTGCTGCGGCGAGTAGGGGGCGGAGAAGTGGCACTAAATGCCTTCATCGGCGTAGTAGGTGCCGAACTCTGCGGCAGTGAATTCTCTGCCGTTGTCGGTGCGCAGCACCCGGAGCTTACAACCGCTCTCCTTCTCCGCAGCTGCCTGTACTTGCTTGATGGCGTGCTCAGCAGCTCCCTTGGTCGGCAAAAGGACTGCCCACATGAAGCGGGATGCGTCGTCCACCAGTACAAGTAGCGTCGTCCGCCTGGAGTCACTGGCGTCACGGGCCTGCGTAGGTCGCCGTGAACAAGCTCGAGTTGCTTCTGCGTGCGGTACAGGGCTTGACGTGGGAAGGGGCGCCTCCTCTGCTTCGTGGCGATGTAGGTGTCGTAGAGCTACTGGACGTGGTTGATCACCGACATCCCGCGTGCCATAGCCCCCTTGCCCAGACTTTGTGCAAAGACCGAAGTGGAGATGGCGAAACTGCTCGTGCGCCGCCACGCTTCATAGTCTCAAGGCCGGGCAGGCAGAGTGGTCGAGCCACCTCAAGATGGAGGACATAGAGGCGGTTCGGACTGCGGCGGACCTTGACGAGAAGCCGACCACGCCGATCCCAAATCTGAAGGATGCCCTTGTCGATCTCCGCCTCTGATCCGCCTCGCCCACCGCCGAGACTCATGATCGAAGGCGCAGGCAGCCGGGATGAAGTAGACACCGTGCAGCAACCGGTGCTCGCTAGTCTTGCCCGCGAACACGATCGAGCCGACGCCTTGTATCTCCACCCTTGAGGAATCGCTTAACGTGACCGAGCCACGGACGCCAAGTCGAGGTCAAGAAGAGCTCATGGCAACCCGGTCATGTGGTGGGTGGCGCTACTATCAAGGTACCAACCGCCGAGCTTCTCGCCGGTGCAGTCATCGAGGAAGGCTCGGGCTCGCGATTGGCCGATGTGGGAGGCTGCAGCGCGGTCACGTGCGTAAGGTTGAAGCTTGTGCCTTTCCTCCGCCTCTCTCCCCGCCTCTAGCTCTAGGAAGATGTGAGCTAGGAACAACTCCTCTGCTGGCGCCATGCCATGCGCACCACCACCGTTTCGCGCCGAGGTGGCGGCACTCCTTGGCCCGAAAGGGCCTGCTCCACCGAAGTTGAGGCAGATGTCGTCGCGGGCTGCCTTGCGTTCACCGCCGGCAACACCTGCCTTGACTCCTTAACTGCCACCGTCACGGTCACCAGCGCGACGCCTTGGCTTGCTCCTTCTTGCCGCTGCGGCGACGCCGGTGGACGCCCTTGACGTGTTGGTGCCTTCCCCTTCTCTTCTTCGCCGAGCGAGCCATCGCTTCCTTGGTGTACAAAGAAGACTTGTCGCCGATGGTGACCGACTCGGTGGGAGCGCGCCGCGATCGTCCACCGCCTTCAGCCTCCCCGACACCTCCTCGATGGTGAGATCCTCAAAGTCGAGGAGCGTCTCCATCGCCAGCGCGATCTGGGAGTACTTCTTCGGGACAACGTGCAGGAGCTTCTCCACCGCCCGCGCCTTCGTAAGGTCGTCATCGCCGTGGCGGGCCATCTGCTACATCCGAAAGACGAAGGGCAAAGTCGCCGACTTCCTCACCAGGTGGAAAGCCGGTGATCCCGATCTTGGCGGAGCTGCCATAACGCCGCCGGCGGACACAATCAACGCCGACACCTGTTGCAGCGATGGAGTCCCATGCATGCTTGGCGGAGGCCTTGTCGGCAAGGGTAGCTCCCAGCTCTAGAGGAATGGCGGTGAGGATAGCCTCGAGCGCCCGCCAGTCGTTGTGGAAATCGACAACGCCGTCCTCGACGGCATCCCAGAGCTACCGGGCCTGCATCTTGACCTTCATCAGCAGAGATCACTCGTGGTAGTTCGTCTTGGAGAGCATCGGCCACGGCGTCCCCACTCCCGAATCCTTGTAGACAGACCGTTGATTGGCCACGGCGCTCGCGACGTCGCTTAGGTGATGGCGACTCGCGACACGGTGGCAGCTGCTCCATCTCCGCGCGCAGAGCCTCGGCAACAGCCACTGCACCCTGGGCTGCGGCTGCCGCCTGCCTGGCCGTCTCAGCCGCACGCGCTGCTGTGGCCTCCGCTGCGGCATCTGGCACAACTGGTGCCGGTGGCTGGCGGGCGGCGCGGGCTCTGGCGCCGCAGATCCTCCAGAGAAACTGGAGTGGTTGGATTTGGACATGGTGGCTCTCAACTCTCAAGATAACCTATGCTCTAGAGTCGAGATACCAATTGTTGGCCAGGTAACACAAAGTGGAACTCTGATTTAGAACTGCCAGAGGGCAGCTTGGCCATAGGCCGCTTATTCCATTATATAGGGAAAAGCAAACTTGGTTTACAAGGAAAAACACCTTACCTGCTACAGCATATTCTAACCATTAAAGTGGATGCTGAGCATATTCTAACCATTAAAGTGGATGCTGAGCATATTCTGAGTACTAGCTTGCAGCAGCTGAAAACAGTTTGACAGAAAACAGTAAATAGCTAAGAGTTTAACTAGATACATAGAGCAGCACTCAAGCTTAACTCTCATCCTGTCTCCTCAGGCCTGTCTCTAATTCAACTGAGGTGGAATTCAAATTTACCTCTTACCACCAGGGAAGCTACAGCCTTGGGTTTATGTTCTGTTGCAAATTGCAATATCACAACAATAGATAATCTAACTAATTAGTCTTATTAATCCTTGTGGCCACCTGCTGCTGCATCCCATGTGCATCCACTCTTTCCCTGGCACTGGGTCATAACAACTCTTGAATGGAAATTTCTGTTTTGTTAGCTTGGTAGTCAGATGCCAGCTTTGTTTAATATGTTCCTTATATGGTTTATTTTGATGGCAATGCATGCCCTTTTTGTTTGCTTCATTTTGTTGTTACCTATTTATATAATCTGTTTCGTTCACGAAAGATTGATTATGAAAATTCACTTTTGTAGGTAGAAATGAAGTCATCGAAAAAATCTAATGCTTGTGAGCTGCATCTGTTTTTGGAGGTTAGACTTCAACTTCAAAAAATATTTTCTCATACATTATGTAACATCCCAGGATAAAAGTTTTGCTAAAGCCCAGCCCCGAAGCAAGATACCTACAGGTCACTGCTATACACATGGGCCAGGAAGTGTTCAACACTAGCAGAAAAATGCTACAGGGTTCAAACATAGTAACTCTAGGTTAGCCCTTCTGTCCTGCAGGATGGCTGTATTTTGGTAAATTTTGGAACCTGCAGGATGACCCTTCTGTCCCCGGGGTGTTACATCAAGATTCTTTAAAAGAATGCTTCCCACTCCATCCAATGAGTTACTGCTTACTGAATTTTCCTTAACATGCGCTCACTGTAGGTGCTTCATCCTCTTCGTGTGCGCAATATGATTAGCAAAGATGACATATTGGTGTTCCTAAAGCTGTATGACCCAGGTCAAAGACAGCTACGGTCAGTGCGGTTTATTGACTGCCCCCTCTCTTTTTTTCCTACTTTGGTAATCTTAAGAACTTTCACTCAATTTGATTGTTTTGAATGTGAAAAATAGATATGTCGGCACACTCTTTGTCAAAGCTTCGTCAAGGCCTTCATGTATTCTTCCAAAGCTAAGAACTCTAGCTGGTTTTCATGCATACGAAGAAATTGAATTGTATGAGGTTTGGTTTTATACCTTTGTAAAGTAGATAAACTTAATCCTAATTGACATGGTCTTGTTGTAATTCTCGATCATATTTAATGATTTCTCACTTTAACATGAAGGAAATAAAATTCGAACCGACGTTGATGTGTGAGAGGATTGACATTAATGTTACCTTTAGGTCTAGTCAGGTTTGTTCATAGTACTTGTCATCTCATTTCTATTTGCTCCTGAAAACTTAGTTTCTGTCCTTACACCCCCCTCTCTCTTTTCAGATTGAAAATGGGGACATTATTTGCTACCAGAAAACGGCCAACTCAGAGGACAAATATCCTAATGTTGAATTGTTCTTCAAGCATGTTCTTGGTCAGAAGGTGCCTGTTCTATCTAAAACTTGATCTTCAGTTTGTTGCCTAGTGTGGCAAGATCTTGTTCTCCCTTGTATGCTTCCTTTACCATTAGATCTTTCCTTCTTTGGTTGTACAGACTACAGAGGGAGCCCAGATGGTTGTGTTTTTCTTTGACATTGTCTGCTGTAATGGTTTGAATAAATATGACTCCCATAATTACATGTAGGATCCACAAATAAGGATACAGGCTCTAGAAGAGGAGGTTGCTGCTATGTTAAAAAATCAGGTTCGTCGTGAAAAGGACGCAAAAAAAGGTAGATCAATATCACAAGAACATATCTTGGTTCATATGCATTTAGAAGAGAAACTTGCAGCAGCAACATATAACTTCCATTTATGTAACGCAGAATGTGATGAGTTGAAACAGGAACGAGATAATGCACTGCGACAGGTCGATGAGTTACGTGATCAGAACAGGCATATTATTCTCTAGTTCTCCTTGAGGACTTGGAACAAGCGACAGAGAATTTCAGTGATGTGTGCAAGGTTGGAGACACCGAATATATGCCAGCGTATACAAAGGCATAGTACATAAGACCATGGTGGCAATCAAGCTATCATGTTCCCAAAGCTTATTTCAACAGGAGGTAGGTCTGCTGAGTGTGTTTGTTGTCTTTAGATGAGTCCTTTCTCTAATGCTTGGTTATTGCAGGTTTCTATTCTTAAAAAATGTAGACATCCAAACATAGTCACCATTATTGGAATATGCTCAGAAGCCTCTGCTCTAGTATACGAGTGGTTACCGAATGGAAACCTTGAAGACTGCATTGTTAGCTCAAATAACTCCCCACCTCTGCCATGGTGCAAACGTACACAAATCATTGGTGACGTTTGCTGCACGCTGCTATTCCTTCATGCAAATAAACCCAGTGCTTTGGTCCATGGCGATCTCCGGCCTTGCAACATCCTCATTGATGCCAATTACAGAAGCAAGCTTTGCAACTTTGGTATGTCCAACCTGTTTCTTGCGCCTGGAGCGTTCCCACCAAACCTCAATGTGAGGCTGCCATACATGGACCCGGAATTTCTCACCACGGGGGAGCTCACGCCACAATCTGATATCTACTCACTGGGTGTCATTATCCTGCGTCTCTTGACTGGAATGTCTCCACTGTCTATAGCAAAGAAAGTGGCGTCAGCTCTGGAGAGTGACAGCTTGCATCTGATGATAGATAAATCAGCTGGGGACTGGCCCTACACGCAGGCCAAGCAGTTAGCAGTCCTCGGTCTGAGCTGCGTGGAAATGACACCGGAGAAACGTCCTGATCTGTTAACACAGGTTTGGAAAGTCATTGAGCCCATGGCCACGAGGCCTCTTGTGGCTTACTTCCAATCAGCCTCTGGAGGAAGCTCTGCACCGGCTCACTTCTGCTGTCCAATTCGCATGGTAATTAACTCTGCCAGCACTTTATTAGACCAGTTGGGACAAATGGTAGTTACTGAGAAATTATTTTCTACACCATGCAAAGAAATCCCTTTCCCCTGGACTGTTCAGTGTTTTTTTCTTCTTCTTAAGAATCCTGCATAGAGTTCTGAATAGACTGAAGTGCATTTACGAAGTGGTCATTTGCATTTTTCAGGAGATCATGAAGGATCCTCAAGTGGCATCTGATGGATTCACCTATGAATCAGGAGCCATAAGGCAATGGCTTGATAGTGGGAACAGTAGGTCTCCGATGACGAATCTCGCCCTTCCAAATCGAGATATCATCCCTAATCATGCCCTTCGGTCTTGCATCCAAGAGTACCTTGAGTTTCAGCGGCAACAAGGACAGAATCTGGACCCCTAAGGTACTCTGCCATAGAACTGGCTGCGTTTAGGTACATAGCTTGACTATGTTAATTCAATCCGGCGGATTTTGGATGCCAAGAAAAATCTGTATCCTTGCAGTGGTAGCCATCTGCAAGCAACATAACAAAGTCAGTAGACGTGTGTTGAATCATGGATGACATTCTAGGATTTTTTATAACCTTCTGTAATCAATATCTTAATACTAAACTCTTGCAACTTTTTAAAAAGGATAAAGTACACTTTACAACCCTCAACTTGCGTCAAAGTTCGATTTTCAACCTTCAACTATGAAACCGGTCAGAAACACCCTCAATATCAAAACCGGATGAATTTGGTCTCGGCGGTTTCAAAAATTTTCTATTTTGGGAGGCCGAAATTTTTTAAATTATTTTTTGAGTCTCATCGAGCATCTTAAATATCCTCAAATGATGAGACTCAAAACTCAAAAATAGAAAACCCTTCAATCTCATGTCGGATGAAGATAATTTTTATATGTAAAGTGTATCTTCATGAGATCTACATCTTTATAGTTTTAATTTTTTTCATTTGATGACAGTAAGATGCTCGAAAAAATAATATAAAATTTTAGCACCATATTTTGTCGCGTGATGAGACTCAAATTTCAAAAAATAGAAAACCCTTCGATATGATGTCGGATGAAGATAATTTTTATATGTAAATTGTAGACCTCAATGAGATCTACAACTTTGTAGTTTTGAGTTTTTTCATTTGAAGAAGTTTAGATGCTCAAAAAAATAATTTAAAATTTCGGCCCCTCCCGAAAATAGAAAACCACTTTTGAAACCGACCGAGGACCAAATTCGTCCGGTTTTGATAGTTGGAGGGTGTTTCTTGACCGGTTTCATAGTTGAAGGTTGAAAATCGAACTTTGGCACAAGTTGAGGGTTGTAAAGTGTACTTTACCCTTTTAAAAACTAACCCTTGAGCCAAGGGTGTGTGGCCGCTGTGCCCCATGCACTGGCACGGCAAGGGTGCCACCCTAGTGCGGCCTGCCAGCATGGAAGCGCTTTGGGTTCCACCATGCTGCGCCAAGCTTTGCCTGCTGTTGCCATCGGCTGAAATCCGGCGATTTTGGACTCCCCTTGTGGTGCTGTGATTGAGCAAGGTATACCCCTTTGATACGTGTTTCTCGGTCGTATTTGGTAGTTTAATAGTTGAACTCGCTCGCCTAAGATTATGCAATGGTTTTGAATTTCTAAGAGCAACTCTACTAGATTGAGAAAACTTAGTCTCCTATATCAGGTTAAAAGGAGACTGAAAAACTAATACAAGCTATGCGGAAGATGTGCTCCAACAGATTGAGAAATCTCCACCCCCTTTATACATAGGATTCGCACGTCTTTTCTCTCCTGTCCTTCCTCCGCAGCAATGACGGTGGCAGGTGGCACGGAGGAGCAGTGCACGATGGCGGCCTGCCTAGAGGAGCGACAGCGTGGTGACATCTCGCTTAGAGGAGCGGTGCACGGCAGCGGGTAGCCTGGAATGGAAGACGAAGCGTGGTGACTGCGATGAGAATCGTGTATCGTGTTGTGTGGCTCGGCGTGGGATAGAAAGGAAAAAGGGATGGATTGCTCTCTCATTTCTTTGAGGGTCCGAGAGAGGATCTGATTTTTTTAGAGAAACAAGATAGAAAAGGGGATCTGTCAGTGCTATTTTTTTGCCTCTCAAACCTCTTTTTACAAGAATATAGGGAAAGAGATCACTTTCTTAATCTGGTGGAGTTGTTCTAAGCAATAGAACAAAAGATTGGATAGATCTTAGCCTTTGCTACAATGGTATTTAGGCTTTTCCCGTGATGTGTACGCATACAATAGTTGCATGTCCTTTATATGTTTAGATATAGATTATGTATTGCAGGCAGTGTAGTTTAGTTGCCTTCATGTTTTTGCATGTTTTGTAGATAATCTATGATACACTATCCTTGATTATTTTTTGTAGACGAATTGTTTAATTTGTTTGTTTCACATAGTAGTCAAAGAAAATGACGTGCACGTCAACAAAAGTGGTAAAATTATAGCTGAGTTACTCTTTTCTAGGACAAATTTATATTTGGCATGATAAAGCTGGCAATCGGAGAGACAGTCACCACATCGATGGCAAATAATTAGAAATCCCAAAAAAAAGAAGGTTCAATTTTCTTCTCTCGGTTGGATATGGCAAATGGCCGGCGGCGCTCAGCTGATGGGTGGTGGCGCGACAGCAGCGCGGCGAGTGGTGGTCGCAGGTCATTTCGTACGCCTCGCCGTCCATGAATCTCCCTCGCTCCTGTCTCGCTGATAGTCCCGCCAGAGATACCACGCCACGCCGCCTCCGTCGTTGCCGCCTGCCACGGCTGCCCCTGCCTGCGCCTACGCACACACCTGCTTCCTCGACACCGACTGCGGCTGGGGTAGGCTGTGACGCGCGTGGGAGGGTGCGGCGTTGCGGCTAGCGCAGGGTCAGGGCCGTCGAGTAGCTGTTTGTAGTCTGCCGGCGTGTTACGCATTTCCATCTTCAACCCCATCCAGTCCCGTCGCAGACAATCAGCTAGTTCAGTTTGTAATTTCAATTTGTAATTTTAGTTTCTATTTTCAGTTAGTAATTTCAGTTTCTATTTTCAGTTAGCAATTTCAGTTAGTAATTTCAGTTTCTATTTTCAGTTAGCAGATTTTGAGCAAGCGGTGGCGGCTGGCAGTAGACGGAGATTGGGCGCTGCTGAAAATGGAGGAGCGGGGGGTGGGAATCATGGGATTGGGCGCTGGTTGCCCTCGTGGGGGCTGAGTTGTGTGTGGGGGGCGCTTTCCATTTGCGCGACGGGTCGCGCCCTAACCGCGTCCATAATACAGTCAGTTACTGGCTGTAAGGATCTTTGTAAATTATCTCTAGAGTTTGTGCATGGGCTAGGTGTAACCTTACAACCTACCTCTCTTCTCTCTCTCTTCACTTTCCTCCACCTCATTACTATACTTGCTCTGATGTGTTATGAGCTTGTCAACAGAGATTAGGTGGTGGTTGAGAATGTGCATAGAAAAAACCATGTCGATTCTAGTCATGACGTTGGAGTTAATGAAAAGCTAGCGGGGGATAATGTTAAAAGCCGACGGAGAACCTAACTCAAGAGACCAACTTGTTAGAGGAGCATACTTAATTTCTATCAGTGTTGTCTCCTCTAGTGGCCTCGGTGGTATAGGGCTTACACAAATGTCGTCGTTCACATGTACAATGACTTTGATGCAGGGACATTTGAGGCTGAGACCAACATGGACGACGACGACGATGATGATATTTCTCTTGATTCGGAAGAAGATGATGATGATGGAGATAAAGAGGGAGTGGAACAAATTGTTGAGAATGCACTTGAGGAGGAAGAGGATATAAATGAGGAAGAGGGTGGGGGATGAATTAGAACGAGATGATGAAATAGAGTTGCCACATAATTATACAGTCGAGGAGATGAGACAACTTAGGGCGGTGCATGTGAAGGTTCAGAGCATACCATATTATATGGATATCATAATTAACAATAGGGTTGTATGTGTCATCGGTTTTTTTTTTTTTGGCGAGGAAGTCGGCTTATGACAACAGGGATGTTGTAATTATCAAGGGAGTGGTATTTGATACATTGGACAAATTGCATATCTTCTTACAGGTCTATCAGTGAAGCATCATAGGCCATACTGTGACACAATCTAAAAAAACTTACATTTATGGCTCTAATGAGGTCAACTTAGAGAATTCTCAGTACACAACATGGTACATTGCCTATGGCATTATCGGCATTGTTGATGCAGACACCGACATGCTCGTGTCCTCACTAATTGAGTCAATATATATGGGATTAGTGGACATCGAGTGAAGTACGAAAAAGGCATGGGGTGCGAAAGCAACAGGAATTGGAGATGCATTCGGGTGACTGGAAGGAAGCATACAACTAGGTTCCAAGGATATTTGTGTCATGGATTTCTACAACCCTAGCATGAAATGATTTACGTGCTTCGGTGAGAAGCATTTCATTTATGACAATGGCGACACCAAACATGTGCTCCGACGTGTGTTTTGGACCTTTGCTCAGTGCCTCAGTCAGAAGAAACTTGCAAGCATTGTTGTCCGGTGATACTTGTGGATGCAACTTCCTTGACTGCAAGTATATGATCCTATTGATGGTGGCGATTGCTGTAGACCCGAAAGATCAGCTAGCAGTGTCACTTTGCATTGGCATATAGGGAGCTAGAAGCCAACAATATGGTTGTGGTTCATGAGGCTTCTTCAATTGCATGTGCTTGACAACTCAGGCTACGTACGATAGATATTAGGCCCGCACTACGGTCTCCTTAGCTTAACGCCACCGAAAGAAGAGATCGTCCGGTGGGTCCGTCCTCTAGCTCTTGGCCATAGGGTGGTGCTTGGGACACTTTGCAGGCCACGTTTGCTGTCGGCAGTAAAAGAAAGAAGTGGCAGAAAAGATTAAGATTGTTTGGTTCGAAGGGACCGTGCCCTGCAACAGTTATAACCAGGAATGCTAGACTAAAGGCCGGTTTGGTTTCTGCAGTGCTCCTAAAATGTTTGTCACATCGAATGTTTAAATACATGTATGGAGTATTAAATATAAACTAATTACGAAACTAATTACACAACTTGCGACTAATTTACGAGACGAATCTTTTAAGCCTAATTAGCCCATGATTTGACAACGTGGTGCTACAGTAAACATGTGCTAATGACAAATTAACTAGGCTTAAAAAATCGTCTCGTAAATTAGCCTCCATTTATGTAATTGGTTTTGTAATAATCTATATTTAATGCTCTTTATTAGTATCTAAACATTCGATGTGACATGAATTTTAGGAGCGACTAAAGAACCAAACACCCCCTAATTTATATAACCGTGGAATTCAGCTATCCGAACGAGCCCTAAGACTATGTTTTGTGCACGGAAGGGCATGAGACTAAATTTGATGAGAGGATGAGAGGCTAATTAGGAGGCACCTCCGAATTTAG